GCGGCGGATGTTCCCGGTGCCAACGCCAAAGGGGCATTTCGCTCCCAAACGGCGGAATGAGGTTGGAGTTCTTCTCTTTTTCCTCCGAACCTCCAGCTGTAGGAGCGGGGACTTTTCGTTCACCCGACTCCTCTTCCTCCTGTCCGGAGGCTTGTGCAGACACGCCTGTGTTTTCCACGGCCAGGAATTTTTCCTGACTAGCGTTGGGAAACAGGCCGCTTCTCTTGCCGTTACGACCCGTCTGGTCCTCCGAAAGGCTACCTGAATCGCCCTCGTGGGCAGAAGACTTCGTTTTATCCTTCTTTTTGGGCCTAACGCCGAAAGAAAATCCGAAAAAATAAGGAGTAGGGAAACGAACGTGCACCCCTCTGCGAACGCACAAGGAAAATGGCGGCGAACAATGTCATTACGTCATGATATCCCGTGATGCTTTGCGATTAGAGCTTTGTACACGTGCGCCACCTAGCGATAAGCATAGGAAATACTGCATAAGGTAAATGATATACCCAAATAGGGAGTGTGCAGGTATAATGACTGCATTTTCAGTAAACTGCACAATCATATAGATGATAACTGTGAGTGCTATACAATGATAGTGCCCAATGAAACCACGTATAAAACTGTATTTTATAAATGACATCTGATCTGAGTCCCAAAATTAAACAAAACGTTGGCCAAGAACATGGGCCTCGAAGAAGTCATAAATGATTTTTTCTTGCAACTTGTAAGAGATGACACATATTAGAATCACTGTCCAACAATTGAAACGGTAGTTAGATAGTCTGAGTTATTTTGTTTTAACCTTATCCCATACTGCCGTTCTTCAGCAGTTACAACAAACAAAAACTTCAATATCTCTCGGCTTTCCTCGTAGGTACTAGTAAAATTAGTAATTATAACAGAAATCGTGGCAAAACGATTGGAAAAAAGATAACTACCTTTTTCTCTTTGTTTGCATTTAGGGGTTGGGGATGGTGTCTGTGTAAACGTGGCATCATTCATTATTGAAAAGAGCAATGAAAACCTTGCAGATGTCATCCATAAAATCAAGTTTCTGTTAAGACAGTACATGAAAATTGATACACTAAGTTAAAAGGAACATGCAAAGATGGATATACCAGTAAAGCCGCAAGCAAAATAGAACTGTATCCTCGGGACGATTCTCCATACTGTCCGGAACTGGTGTGGCCGCACTACTTTCCTGTCAAATTGAAATAGTGGTCATTAATGGAAGTGCAAGACAAATTAGAAAACTTTACCTATTCTAATGACTAATAAACATTTCTGACATTAATTCAGACATCTTTCTTCTTTTTATTTCTTAATCAATAACAGTCAGTTTTAAGCTCAAGAAAGAACAAGGATTAGGAGACCTTACCAAAAAAGCTTATTTCAAAAATAGCAGCAGTAACTTAACGTAAACGTAAACGTAAGTATAACGTACATTTATGGCAATTTTAGGCAAAGTTGGTCCTTTGAAGAATACTTGTGCTTAGATAATGTGTTGAAAAAGTGCAAACAAAATGCAATGAATATTTCGTGAGGATGATATAACAATGCATTTAATAAACAAACCGTAGTAAAGAATGTTGAAGAAATTACACTTACACAAAACGTACACAAACACACTTTCATAAATCATTAAGTACCGACCTTTGTTACGGTAGTCGACACAGCCCGCACAGTCACAGTGAGCTGCAGTGCTCCCACACCAGTTGTGAGGAGAGCAGCACGGGGCATGACCGTCAGGGTTACACTCAGCCCTAATCCCGCCTGCTGTAGTGTAACGGCCTCCACAGCGGTAGTCTTTACGCCATTTCTTAACTGTATATTTAATGAATAGATAGACAAAAAACATTAAAAACATACAAGAGTTTTACAAATTTTACTTTTGTCAAAGGATAATACGTTTAAAGATTAACATTATGTATACATTACGTTAATATAGAGGTTATTTGCACAATTGCTGAGGACATGTTGATATGAAACATTGATCGGTATTTCACATCCAAAATAGTGTTGTGTAGAAAACCGTCAATTAAAACGAAATATGGTATTTATGACCTTATTTCAATAATCAATATGACAAATCCTGTAATAACAAACATTTATAAAAACTCTACATATTTCATGGAGTCTTCGAATTGTTGTTTTGGATTTGATTCCTTGCAGTACAGTAGCACTAATGGTACTGAACTATTTCCGCAAATTGTTCATTATTCTTTATCATGTGATTCACTGCTTGTCTTAATATTTGATAAAAGAGAGTTGCATTGTATTTTGTACACTCACCGTTTTCGGGGGACCTCTCACAGATGAAGTATCTCAGCCGGTCACATTTGGCATCGTTCCAGTTTCTTTTTCTCCAATTTTTCCGAAAATACTCTGCACAGTTTTCAGGATTCTTGTACTTCCCCCACCAATTTTACCCCCGTTATTTGGCCCTCTCGGTGACCAGTTTTTGTAAGATCGGAGAGACGTGCCATCATTCCATTTCCATTTCCCTTCCCTCTGCCTATCATTCAATCCAAACCAAAACCCCCAACCCCCAAGGATTTAGCATTCTTTAACTGAATCAAGAAACTGTTAATGTTTCTGTCTTTTGGCATTGCAAGGTTTCCACCTGCCCCCTGATTTTTGCAGTAGGCAGATGCGTCAGTCCAGGTTTTTCGAATGCTGAATGCTTTGTAGCACTTCCTGTACTTTCTTCTTTTTATTTCTTAATCAATAACAGTCAGTTTTCAGCTCAAGAAAGAACAAGGATTAGGAGACCTCATACCTACATGAAAATATCTAGAGCCTTTGTAATTTCAAAGTGCTCATTTCGTAAAAATTCATACTGCTCATTTTTTGGTCAGAACTTACCAAAAAAGCTTATTTCAAAAATAGCAGCAGTAACTTAACGTAAACGTAAACGTAAGTATAACGTACATTTATGGCAATTTTAGGCAAAGTTGGTCCTTTGAAGAATACTTGTGCTTAGATAATGTGTTCAAAAAGTGCAAACAAAATGCAATGAATATTTCGTGAGGATGATATAACAATACATTCAATAAACAAACCGTAGTAAAGAATGTTGAAGAAATTACACTTACACAAAACGTACACAAACACACTTTCATAAATCATTAAGTACCGACCTTTGTTACGGTAGTCGACACAGCCCGCACAGTCACAGTGAGCTGCAGTTTTCCCACACCATTTTTTAGGAGAGCAGCACGGTTTGATTCCGTCAGGGTTACACTCAGCCGTAATCCCTGCTGTAGTGTAACTGCCTCCACAGCGGTTGTCGTCACGCCATTTCTTAACTGTATATTTAAAGAATAGATAGACAAAAAAACATTACAAACATTTTTACATATTTTACTTTTGTCAAAGGATAATACGTTTAAAGATTTAACATTATGTATACATTACGTTAATATAGAGGTCATTTGCACAATTGCTGAGGACATGTTAATATGAAACATTGATCGGTATTTCACATCCAAAATAGTGTTGTGTAGAAAACCATCAATTAAAACGAAATATGGTATTTATGACCTTATTTCAATAATCAATAAGACAAATCCTGTAATAACAAACATTTATAAAAACTCTACATATTTCATGGAGGTATGAGATCTCCTAATTGTTGTTTTGAATTTGATTTTTCGCAGTACAGTACAGTACTATTTCTGCAAATTGTTCAGTATTCTTTATCATGGTATTCACTGCTTGTCATAATATCTGATAAAAAGAAAGTTGTATTGTTCCTATTTTGTACACTCACCGTTGAGTAAACTGTTGGGGAACCTCTCACAGATGAAGTATCTGAGCAAGTGACATGGGGCATCGTTCCAGTTGCTTTTTTTCCATTTTTTCCGAAAATACTCTGCACAGTCTTCAGGATTCTTATACTGGCCCCAAAAACTTTTACCCCCGTTATTTGGCTCAATCGGTGACCAGTAATTGTAAGACCCGAGAGACGTGCCATCATTCCATTTCCATTTCCCTTCCCTCTGCCTATCATTCAATCCAAACCAAAATGCCCATTTAGAGGATTTAGCATTTTTTAACTGAATCAAGAAATCGTTAATGTTTCTGTCTTTTGGCATTGCAAGATTTCCACCTACTCCCTGCCTTTTGCAGTAGGCAGATGCGTGAGTCCAGGTTTTTCGAATGTCGAAGGCTTTGTAGCACTTCCTGTACTTCAGTTGATAACCGTCCTCGCATGTACCTGAAGCAGAGCATGTTAAAGTTTGTTACAGCATTACAGTAACGCAGTTCATCTTTGTGGGCATCCGTTTTCAACCTACAACCTCTTTTATAATAGTCTATCTTTCTGTAAGTAGAGTATACAGTCACTGTGCTGTTACTTTAAATTTATCCTAAGCTCTCTCTAGTTCTTGAGATGCAACCGGAAGCAGAGCATTGTTGTCTACGCTAGAGTCTCTTGCATTATAGTATATCTCCTAATCTACTTCAGCAGAAAATAGCTCTAAAAAGAATGTCTTTAAAAGGAGTGTATGTCCAACCTTACAAACACAGCAGTTACAACAAAGAACTGAAAAACTGATATGACTGAAAAATAAAATTCAACGCAGTGTTTTTGCATGCCTTGGGGAATTTTCTTGACAAAAAATTCAATCAGTTGATAAACACATTATCACAGCATTATGTCTTTTAGAAGAAAATTCTGAAGCAAAACATGCGAAAAGATTTGGATTTATGTTACACGTCATGCTCATGCCATCATCAGACTTACCATAAACAGTATATGTTTGCAGCCTTTCTTTCACACTGCTGAGCTTTCTTTTCCACTCTCGAACCATAGCTGGAATTTTATCTTGACGCCCCTTGATTCGCAGAGCTGCAATCCATGCACAGTATCCACCTCCAATCAGTCCGTATACCTGCCCAGCCTTCTGTCGCATCTACATGAGAAAATCAACGTTTATTTCTAATAATTATGGACTCATGGCAATTCACAAACTGAAAAACTTCGTGGGCGGAATGGAACCTTCTCTCCCGGCTGGTTGTAGGATGACCTGCTATATCAAAATAACGCGTTAAAAACTCACCGCATGTCAAGTCAAAGATAGAGAAAAAGGATGCATACCTTTATGCTATACTGTTCCAGGTCCCCTTTGCCTCCTTTGTCCAGTTGTTGATGATATATTTGGAACAGAGACTTGCCCCCAAAAACTGATGATTGTGGTTCTACCATGTTCAACAGATTGAGCAATACCTGCAAAAGCACAAGGCAATAAGTTTTCATCAATAGCACCAAAGTACACCTTGATTGCACACCACACAAACATCACACGTTAGACTTCTTCAAATGTGCCTTTAGGAAAGACAAAGTAACCTGAAGTCAACCATCTTTAACTTTAAGCTGGTGATACTTTGTATCTAAAAAGCCTAAAATGGAAGAACAGCTAGTAATCGAGTGAATTCATCATGACTAGGAGTTTGCTCTCAGTGTAACAAAATAGAAGAGACAATAGACGTAACTTGTTTATCTGTATCTGCATCGGCATAGCCTGTATAACCGCCCTTCGGCGTAACACACCAGCTTCGCAGGCATGCGGTGCGGCGGCAGCAGGTACATTACACCGAACGACTTGTTACACCTAGCCATTGAACATCTAACTCTGAACATTATTTCAAGCTATCTAATGATAATGCCCCTTTTGTACTTGACGACAGCGAGTTCCACTCTGCGATAGTTCTAGTAAAGAATGAATTCTTCGACACCTCAATCCAATCCTTGGTTGATAACTGTGGTACTTGAAGGCATGGCTATTCCTTGTTCTCTTCTGGGCTTGTATTAGGTACTTAATAGTTGGGACGTCCACCAGTTTATTAGTCATTTTGTTACCTTCGCCAAGAAGGTTATGTTTTCAGGGGCGTTCGTGTATGTGTGTGTGTGTGTGTGTGTGTGTGTGTGTGTGTGTCTGTCTGTAAACACGATAACTTGAGAAGGCCTTGATGGATTATTTTGATACTTGGTAGGTGGGTAGGTCTTGATGAGACCTCAAAATGATTAGATTTTGGGCCCCCTAGCGGCTTGTTATGGTACTGCAGCTGAACTTCCGGTTTTGATATCTCATGATCTAGACATGCTATGGTGATGAAATTTGGATGGTAGGTAGCTCTCGTGCTGGGGAAGAATTGACATGAGTTTGGGCCCCCTAGCGGCTTGCTCTAGAACTGCAGGGATATATTCTTCAAATTATTCAAAAGGGGATAACTCAAGAACCGTTTGACGGATCGTCGTGATTTTTGGTATGTAGGTAGCTTACGTGATGTTTAATATAATTATGTGACAATTATGCAAATATGGATGTAATTTACATAATTTATGGGGAAATTCTATAAATCAGCTGCATTCCATGATAGGACAATTGAAGCTTGTGACATTGGTAATTGACAACGAGAGAAACACAGGAAGTTATTGATTATGTTAATAATGACTTAATTTGCATAATTAATGAGAAAGTTTTATAATTATGTAATGATAACTGCCTGGAATTTCATACTTGTGGTATTTGAAAGTTTAGTTGAGGTGAACATCATTAAACATAATTTATTCAAATCAGGACCTCATTTGCATAATTTAGTAGGAAATGCTACAATGCATTGTCTTTTGGTTGAGATTATGATAAAATGATATAATTCATGAAAATTAGGTTCCTATTTCTTAAATCAGGGGGGAATAATCTAATCTATAATTTGTCAGTCATAAAGATTAACATCATTTGGCGAAGGTATGAGATCGGGGAACTCTAGTTCATCATGCATAGTCTGAACTTTTTTCTTATGTCTTCCAGTGACACCCGGTGTAGGTTTCTTTTCATTTCCGTGACTAGCACCTCTTTCATAGTAGTTTTCATACAGAATCTTGCGGCTTGATTCTGAACCCGTTCCAGTTTGTCTTTGTCTTTCTTTGTATATGGATATATGGTTTATGACAATAATGTGGCTTGGAGTGGGCCGTTTTTTTTACAAAATGCAGTCACTGACAGAAGAATCAAACATGACCCATGGACAGTATTGGACACCAATTGCATGGATCTCGTCTTCGGAAGTATCTGATAAAATGTGTACCTACATTGTTGATTCCATCCGAATAATGACTGAGGACGCTGTCTGCCCAACCCTGTATGTCGCTGCCCGCATACTGTCCATTGCTGATTCGCATCCTAGCAAGAGTGTCCAGCGCGTTCGTCAGTCGTTGTTCGTCTCTGGCATACAGGATGACTTGTTGAAGGTACTGCTGTCCCAGCTGCAGGTCACTGACGCTTCGTGTCAAGTCATCTATCTTCCTGTCCAGCTCCCGGATCTGACCTTGTATTTCATTGAGCTGTTGGGTTGTTTGTGCAGACTCCTCGCGGTCCAAGGCAAATCCGACTAAGCCAACAACTTCTGTGAAAACGCCTAATGCTGCCCGCTGGAAACAAATAAGCACCACATTACGTAATGAGTTTAACAGCGAGGCGTATGAGGAAGAGTCCCACATGCCCAACACATTATGCACCATTTTAAGTCCTTGATTCCTTATTAAAGGTAATTACCTTTAAGTTTTCTCTTTCAGTCACGCCGAGAGCTGATCCTGCAATGCAAGAGACAGGACACTGTCATAATGTAACAACTCTTTAGGTTGGTCCCAAATATGGTCATTTATGCTTAGATATTATTTAGGCTTTGGGGCTACATGGAACCATATATTCTATACAATAGGCTTTTTATGTCGTTCTTCCAATGTAAAAGATGAGACAGAACAGGTTATTTTCTGTTCCTCTCAGAGTTCAGACACATGACAAGAATCAGAATGGTGGAGTTTATAAAACTGTATTGAGGGAATGAGACAGTGTGGATCATGAATATAACTGTTAAGGTAATTTTGAGAAGACAGCCCTCTGTCTACTGATGGAACTGTGAATGGTTGCTATTTGGAGAAGATACCTAGATACGACCATAACTTTAATGTTATATTTAAGCAAGAAAATACGTGCCAATATGAAGTGCATTTTAAGTAGCTGTACAGCTAGTGACCGTTTGACATGTTTGACCGGGAACGGCCAGCAGGTCGTAAAGTTGGACTGCGCTCACACATCCTTTTAAAAAAGTATCTTATTTATTAATTTAAATGACTGTGCCATACACCAACATTCCGCCGGTATTAATGTTACCTGTTATGTCTCTTTTGGAGGAATCAACTTCACATCTCAAGAGACCTTTGGAGTCAGGTTTGATCTGAGAACCGGGAAGACAGACAACAGGATAGCAGAAGCGGTCTGCTCCTCCGCATATGCAGTTATGATCAGATGAACCCCACTGCTCTCCCAACTATAAGAAAACATGAACTCTTTCAGCAAGCAAGTACTGTAGTAAAGGCAGTGTTCTCAACACTATTTCTGGATATTACTGATTGCTTGAATGTGTAGTATTGTACGTAAGGCACACCCAACAATGACATTTTCAAATATTGTTACACATGTAGCAAATATGATGCTACTGTGTTACTGGGTTTTTAATACTGACATAAATTTGAATGAAAACAGTACAAATGCATCACACCAGGTCGGTTTTGTGATATCTCAATCCTACTATTTGAAGCTTGCCATTTTTGATTGACGAGTCCAATTACCTGATGGCCTTCGCAACCTGTCTTTTTGATAAGTCCTTCGTCAGCTTCACCGCGGAGGTCGAGAGCATTTTCTTCTGCAACAGCAGGAGTCTCTTCATCATCAGCTACCCCAAGGTCAAGATAATCTTCTCCTGTAACATAACAATTCATTGTATCATGACTGCACCAATCGACCTATCTAACTTACACTTTTGTAACAGTAACACCAAGCTGGTCTAAAAATATATCGGGTTCAACAACTCACCTCTACTTGAATGTCACAAAAACATGCAGCATTTTCACCGGTTTAGGGGAAAAAATTGAAATCTGGAAGATTCATACTCTAAAAAGAACCAATGAAAAGCCTGGGGGAAATTTAAAAAATGTCATAAACTACCAAGACGTACATGATAAAACTGCTGACTTTAATAAATTATATTAGCATGTTGCCTACAAACTCACTATCCTGATACCCTTATAGACACCGAGCCCCTGGTACTTTACATCATTCCATTGGTAACAGTGAATTGTCCTCTCCAAATCATACTGTGAGTATGTATCTCACATAGGAGTTACTACATCATCAGGTGCTCTATGACCAAAGCATTTTAATGCGTACAATTTTCCTTGTAAAGAAGAAATAGAAAGGAGCATGGTTCGCCAGGTAATGTACATGATGATCTGAAATACTAACCCAATTTTACACAATTAGGGCATGCATGAATGAGCCAGTGACCTGAACTTTGTGGCTTTGTGGTTTTCTAAAAACATATCTTAATCTGTGTCTGCAGATCTATTGGATGAATACTTAGAGAACTCGTTCGTTACCTTCCAGTATCTGGAGAAGGCTGTCCTCCAACATGCTCATGTTTGCACGCTTCTCACTGCTGTCAGCTAATGCAGTGTGGAGACAATGAGTTCAAAAATTAGCTGGGTGACTAAAAAAACTTGTATTCACGTAGTTACATACAAGGCACAGCTATATGTATGTTGGGAGAAAATTTAACCCAAAATTTAAAGTGTTATTATAACGTTATCGAGAGCGTGCTCTTCCCCTCTAACAGAATATAAAGAGTTATCATTACTAACTCATTAAGAGCATTTGATTTACTAGAAGAATCTATCAATAAAATTCACTCATACCGAAGTTTCCCGAACCATCCGTCACAGAATATAATTGGTTTGAACACGCGTGTGGAAAGACAAGGTGTTGTATTGCACAATAAGCCAATTTGATTTGACTAAAAGCAGCACATACTCCAATCCTGTGCAGCCATTACCTGTTGAAAAGCCACCTGGACAGTCCCAGAGACCTTTGGAGTCACGAACAATCTCAGAACCAGGAAGGCAGTCAACATGATAGCAGAAACGGAAAAGGTCTGGTCCTTCCAATTGACAGTAACAGTTGTCATGTTCAGACGTACCCCATTCGTGTCCCTCCTGTATAAAAGCATGGCTATTTCAATCAATCAATCAATCAATCAATCAATCAATCAATCAATCAATCTTTATTCAAACAACTAGCAGACGACAGTCTGAATTGAGTTGTTTTTACAGTTCATAAAATTGACGTTAAACAACACTAATAGTTTAAAAATTACATAATTTACAAGTTAATGACACAAATTCGGTAGGGAGCTATAATAATGCCTATTTACACAAGTAGAGGTAAAGGTCAATGCTAGCCGCACTCAGTCACTCAATGCCCTCTTAAGTAAAAGCAGCTAAGAACTGTATTTAACTAGCGTTTAACAGCTCAACAATGTAGGGAATGGGAGATTTTTTGTACCGTTCTGTGCGGCAATACGGAGTGTCAAACGTATGTGCAGAACGTGTGCTTCTACCAGAGATATTCTGCCTTACTGGGGGCAGCCATTCACGAAAGTCAGAGTTCAAGAGAGATTCTGCAAATGTTCTACAGATTGTGCGGCGACGATCGGCCAGGGAGCTGAGGTATTTCAGCATTCTTCAGCGGTTTTGCAGCAATCAATCACTAATTAGTCTAGCAGTAGATTGTAATGATGTAGCAAGACAACGTACTACATGAACAAACTATTGCTGAGCTTGAAAACGACTGAATGGCAGCGAATTGGCCACTAAACCCCTTTGACACGATATGCATTTATGTTACAAATTGCATAATTTTTTAGTACATATAGTTTAAGAGCTTGGTGTTAAGAGCTTATAAAGATGTTTTTGTATTTTTTTTACCAAAATGCTGCTTGCCACTGAATAAAGCACAGAATGATAAAAAAAGATTACTCAACACAACGCATATCCTTTAAAATATTCTTACCATACTGTTTGAAATTTTCAATAGACCTATCCCATTACCTGATGGTCTTCACAACCTTTCTTCATGATTAGTCCTTCATCATTTTCCTTTTCTTCTTCAACTGTAGGAGTCTCTGCATTATCTGCTACCCTACCGTCAAGAGCATCCTCTTCCTCTGTAACAAAATGTAAAGAATCACATTATTGTAAGACTTCACTTTAATTGCAACTAGTTAAAGGCAATTTAACATCATTTCAGTTCTATGTAAGTTCTTCAGCTCTTTATTAAATCTAACATAAGAGGATTTTACTATTCAGGCAACAAAGATCATTATAGTTACCTGTGATTTCCTGGAGATCATAAAGGATGTCCTCCGCCCTCTCCAAAAGCTCTTGCTGTTTCTCCATGGCAGCAGCTATTGCATGTGGGGGGGAATGATCGATAACTTCAATATTTTAAGGGTTTTCAGGCAAGTCAATTTGACAGTGTGTTATATGAGTATCCCAATTATGACACTTGTTATTTAGTTATTTTTGTTTTGTTTCTCAAACTTTTTTATTGTTGCAATATTGTTGATCCCGGAGATGTCACAGTGGTGCTGGCCTGCAAACCAAGGCAACAAACATGGAGTAATAGTCTGATTATGTCTTTTTTGTCTGTTGTAAGGAATAAACTGTTGTGTTTTCGACTCAGCATTTCACAACAGTTATTAAACTTAAAAAATTGGAAACATTTCTAATTTGATGGCAATACATGATGTCGTCAATTACTATCAGAATCGTTGACAGTAGTTTTATTTCGAAATACCACTGGTATTTATTTTCATAAAATATGTTGAGAGCAATAGGATTAACAAAGCTTCTTAAAGGCCCGTTATCTTTTTAAGCTAAAATTTGTATCTAATTATACTGAATTTTGGTGTAATCAACTGTTACTATCCCTTTTCAACACATTTGTGTCATTATTTCATATTTCTGACGTATATTTTGTGCGTTCAAACAGTATTTGATCAGTTCCCGGTGCCACCGGTTTGGCCTCAGGATAACAATAACAACAACAACATACAGTGGTTGGCCCCCCTAGGGTGGCTGATTAGTTGGGCATGCCAGGCTAGGTAGACAGGGGCACATGTCACAAGGTTAGCTTCTTTGGAAACACTCAAAGTTGGGCATCAATAAACTGTACTTTCCCCCCATTTTTGGTCTATTGATATTGGAGATGCGTGGAGTGTATGCAACTTGCCTGAACTGGTAGCTGGAAGGAGAAGCGCACATCCAAGCAAGATGGCACCGAGAACCCTCATGATGGGTCTTCTCTGAAACAGAGCAAAGTATATTGTTATTAAGTAAACACTATTTGCCAGCGAAAGTTGTACGAGTATGTGACTTTCTTTGACTGCCCAATTCTTGTATCATCCATGATAGACTGACAAATATATAACATAATACTGAACATGTCCATGTACAAGATATGCGTATACCTATTGAATGTTAAATGGAAGCACGGGTACATAATGGAAACATCATGTACTCCATATACCTATTGTAAGAAAATAATCCATGCATGATTACAAAACGCATACTCATAATACAGCTTACAAACCCATATCATAGCTTGTAAACTCATAGCTTGCAAACACATATCATTGGTTGCAAATACAACTATGGGAAGCTTACAAATGATTTTGTCTGGTCGTAAAATAGTCCTCAATTCTGGTCTGTTTTG